CAACGACACGCCCTTCCGTAGAAAGGACTGCAGAGAAAGCATTTTTGCTTTCGGATCGCCTTTAGCTCTCCAGTGCAGATGCTCGTGTAGAGGGGATAAAGGGTGGTCCTGTTGGGGTGAGTGAAGGTATACCAACTGGTTCCCATGCACCTCTCTCTCTCTAAGAAAACCCGTTGAATACCGTTAGAACCGATTTGAAATCTAGGATTTGATTTGGATTTGATTTGGATTTGGTATCCGACTTTTGCCAGAAAGAGGATTTGATTTGGGATTTGGGATCCGACAAACCCTGTCAAATCCTGACTCTAATATTAATCTCGAGGGACCTACCCAGAGTCGTATATCACCAAATACAACATACGAAGAAAACGTCCCCCTCCCCCAGGAAGCATAAATGTCCCTAGGATCCTACACGAGGGGGGGCATTTATGGGGGGGGGGATACGGTAGATCATGAGAGAGACCGCACCATGAGAATGACTCTCCGCGGACCTTCTCCTCAGTAGGATCCTAAGTCAGTTTAACTTTACAAGTGATTTTATCGCGGCCGAACGTTTCTCAGGTGGTAACCAATTGACTTTCGATTGCGGGTTTTCCGTTTCTCGGGAATTAACGGCATTTGTAGGAGATGTCGCCCGAAATTAGGCAGCCTTCGGCTCAAAAAAACAGATAAACACACTTGTACAGTCAATCACACAAGAAAATGATTCCCGCCGACTTGGAGCGGGATAGAACCGCTCCAAGTCGGCGGGAAGAAACCAATAGGATCTCATCAGCTTCGAGGGCCACCTTCCTCAGTTTCGTCCACCGACGGTTCCAGAACGCCGCAGAAGCCTTGAACAAGAACGTCAGATTCGAGGAGGTGCGTGTTCGGGATTTGCGGAGGGACCAAATTGATAAACACGACCAGATTCTGAGTACGAGGGGGACTGGTAGGCACCTGCGAGACACATCTGTCAACCGACCTGGCTTTCGGTAAAATGTCAGCCTGGATGGGAATTTGGTCTAGCGGTATGATTCTCGCTTAGGGTGCGAGAGGTCCCGAGTTCGATCCTCGGAATTCCCCAAACGCGCACGTCATGAGCAGCAATGTTCCTGATGACTTCGGATGGGTCCCTCTCATCAGTCGGTTTCTCTTTTTGCCATTTCTTGTTGTTCTATAAAGCGACTCGCGCCGTATATCGGCCTGACCGGGACGTATATGAATCTCCCATACTGCGAACCACTGTCATGATATATCATGCGGATGCAACTTGCCCACTCCAATATACGAGCTTGTACGAGGGTGGGGGAGAACTAGACCACATGACAGGAAATACTTGACAAAATGTTGCGCCCCAAGAAACTTTACAAAACAACACGCCGCAGCAAAAATAATTGGACGCTGGAACAGGGACTCGAACCCCGGACCTATAGATTAACAGTCTACCGCTCTGACCGACTGAGCTATACCAGCTGATTGAAACCCAAACGGGCTGGTTTTCCAGGTTATGAGCAATGCTTCCCAGACGTGCTATGACTGAGCGCGACATTCCCCGCGCTGCTCACTTCTCTTGGCCGACTATTCCCAAGTTGGCGCGCTGCGTTTGCGGTACAAACCCGTCAACTTCGACGCGGCAAAACAGGGGGGCCCCAGATTGGTGGTCAAATATTAATTAAGAGGGCCCAGGTCCCAGTTTTCGAATTAATCAGGCTCTAAATTTAGAGATTCGTCGGGCCCGGGCTCTTCCCCGCGCCAAACTTGACGGATTCGCCCCACACACGCAGGACGTCAACTTGAGAATAGTCCGCGAAGCAGTCGGCCCAAAAAATGAAAGCGAAAGTGTGGGTCGCAAAAATTGCCCTTCTTTTCCCCCTTTTTACCAAACGGGTGCAAAAAGTGCAAAAAGATGTGGAAAGCCGGGGTATCGATCCCCGTGCCTCTCGCATGCTAAGCGAGCGCTCTGCCATCTGAGCTAGCCTCCCAATTCGGAGTGGTGATCGACAACCAGCGGATTTGCTGGTGGCCATGTGAGACTGGGTGCCGCGAGTGTACATGTCGGAGGCTGGTACGTACCGGGTAAATAAATAAGGGTCGGGGTGTGTCGAACACACACCCTGGGTCCCCCTTTCCGACTTTCCGACCGGTTCCAACGGCAAGCAATGGCGCCTCCATTATTTGTAAACGGCAAGCGCTCCCTCCAATGTCACCCCCTCCATCGTGAGACGGGCAAAACTGCAAAAAGAGCAGACTACTTCAGATGTGAAGTGGTGCTTTCGCACGATCCGTCTGGGAATTGAACCCAGGTCTGCCGCGTGACAGGCGGCTATACTTACCACTATACTAACAGATCTTTGTTAGGCGCCTTTCTTTGTTGACATGACCGTCAGGAGGTTTGAACCGTACTTGAAGCAGTATTCGTGTAGTAATTATCCTACAGATTCTGAAAATAAAGACTCACTGGTTCCAGCCTGGGACCAGTTTTTTTCTGGACCTCCAGGACCGATGTTCGTTCCCCCTTGACAACTTTTCCCAACAAATCAACCTGACAACACCGCCCATCTAGGGGTGGCAAAAAGGGCAAAATGAGCAAACAGGATGCCTCCACCGAGATTCGAACTCGGGACCTCATGCTTACTAAGCATGCGCTCTGCCAACTGAGCCATGGAGGCTTGTCATTCCTGAGTTGATATTTCACGTCAAGTCACCATGTCAAATGATGGCACAAAACAGAGCATTGTATCGTTTTTTGTGCCCGAATTTTCACTCCCGAAATTCACTTCAATTGTGCAAATGGCGTCTTTCAACAGACGGTCGTGGAGAGAACAAGTCTTTCTAATAAGGTGGAACACGTGTGGTAAAGTGAGAACAGGAGATTCCGGGGGATTTCGGGTGCTTGACGCGCTGGTTCTGATGCCGATCGAGGAGGTTCTCCTCGGAGTGCGAGGCGCGTTCTAACCCGCAACCGCGCTCGGAGGGCCCTTGCGGAGCGGGGGACGATGACACGGTGGTCGAAACATGGATGGGAGCAGGGGTCCGCTGACACCTCACTGAGAACGAATCGTCGTGATGAAGGTGGGGAAGCCACTCAACCCCTGACCCCCCCCCCCGCTGCGGCTACGCGAGGCTAAACGAGACACAGGATGCTGTCCGTGGGGGTGCTGAGTTGTGGGGTGTCTGTCATTCATAGGGGGCAGGGACCCGCGACGACGTCCTTCTCCAGGTACGCGCTCACAACCTGCAGTCGATCCACTTTGAAACGGACCAAACCCCGCAGTAGGCACGCTCTGGTCCGGGGCTGACCCAACCTCGTCGCACGCAGGGGTGCGCAGCTCTGCGCGCTGCCGAGGGACGAATACATGGATGGGAGCAGGGGATCCGCGGGGACCTCACTAACAACGAATCGTCGCTGTGAAGGTGCGGAAGCCACCCGACCCCTCCCCCCCCCGCTGCGGCTGCGCGAGGCTGAACGAGATGCACGAGACACGTCTGTGGGGGTGCTGAGTTGTGGGGTGTCTGTCATTGGGGGCAGGGGATCGCGATGACGTCACCGCACGCATGCGCAAGCGGGATGGCGTCCTCCCGAGACGACATCTTTCTCCAGGTACGCGCTCACAACCATGCAGTCGATCCATTTTGGAACAGACCGAACCCCGCAGTGGGCACGCTTTGGTCTGATTACTGATTACTGAATTTATTAAAGAGGATTTCGCCGTTATTGCCTAGCCCGTGCCATTACCAGACTATGATCGGTGCATGTTATACCCCGCTGAGTGTGTCTCCGAGAGACTGGCGCGGCTGACGCAACCCCGTTGCACGCAGTTTCGAGCAGCTCTGCGCGCTGCCGTCACCGTCCTACGCCTGCCGTCACCGTCCTAAAGCCTTTCAATTCGCCCTTTTGTACTGGATTTCTGCTCTTAAATCCGTTTAAGGACGAGCCAGAATAAAACCCACACAGATCTAGGGGTCATATTTGACACACCCCCAGCAGGAAACGCCCCCCCTGCAGGGGTTACTCGCGAATAAGAGCACGCACCGCCCCTAGGGGGGTCATATGCTCCTCGGCAACAGCCCCACCGTAGGAACCTTCAGCGGTGCGTGTCCTTCTTCGAACGTAAACCAGGTACACGACCCTACAGGAGCAATTGGAGGAGCCGCGCCTGAAGAAAGCTGCTCTGGATAAATTCCGTTGTCCGCCTATGGTGGGAGTTAAAAGAACCTCAAGAACCTAAAGGGATCCTTCCCGTTCACGGCTACCTCGCTCATACGAAGACTACACCCCCTACAGTATCACCTACAGTGTAGGATCCTACAGTAGGCCTACACCTAGAGCCCCATGGTGGTCCTAGTGTGGGGGGGCGTTTCCTTTTGAGCGAGATAACCCTGTACCAGCCTCTGGGATTGCGAACTCGGCCTCATGCAAGCCAGGAAGTGAGGGTATTTAAATGTGGGGTTGTTAAATTTAGTACCAGGCACGGGCGGGTTTGGCCGCGTTCAATACAAGAGCGGGACTTGAAATACCGACCCGGCCACCATGTAACCCCCCAAAAAACTAAGCCCTAAATCCTAAACCCTAAAACATAAACCATGAAACATAAAACATAAAATATAAATCCTAAACCTGAACCCTAAACCCTAGACCCTAACTCTAAACCCTGAACCCTAAAATTTAAACCGTAATCTCTAAAACCTAAACCCTGAACCCTGAACCCTGAACCTTAAACCCTAAACCCTGAACCCTAAACCCTAAACCCTAAACCCTAAAACCTAAAACCTAAAACCTAAAACCTAAAACCTAAAACCTAAAACCTAAAACCTAAAACCTAACCCCCAGACCGCAAACCCTAAACCCTAAACAATAAACCCTAAAAACTGAAGACCCTAAACCCTAAAAACTACACCCCACACCCCCAACCCCAAACTCCAAACCCCAAACCCCCAACACCAAACACCAAACACCAAACACCAAACACCAAGCCCCAAGCCCCAAACCCCAAACCCCAAACCCCAAACCCCAAACCCCAAACCCCAAACCCCAAACCCTCAACCCTAACCCAGGTGGGCCCCGCAAACAGCCGTCTCAACAGAGGCGGAAATCGGCAACCGCCCGCGCGCCTACTCTCAACTGGACGCCAATTTTGTTGGTATTATTGATATATATATATATATATATATATATATATATATATATATATATATATATATATATATATATATATATATATATATATATATATATATATATATA